GGCTGCACTGATGGTAACGGGACAAAGTCCTCTAATTGGCTTCAACACCGCTTTCATTCACACACGCGCTCACATCTGCCACTACAAACTGTAGCATTCAGCATTTAGAACATTCCAGTCATCAGCTATCAACGAGTGTTAGATGAAAGTTATCGGAAAAAATAAATTACTATGGGTTATGTCTCAGAAAAAAGAATTCTCGTAAAATTTACTCGGTCAAAAAAGGACGTTTGCTTGTTTCAAAATAAGAGTTTTCGAAAACATGTTTAGCGGATTTTCCAATAAGGACTTTTACTGTGCCCGCGTCTGGAACTTATTTTTTCGTTTTTGGATTCCCAGTATTCACGAACGCTGTACCACAGACAAGGCTGTGCGTAACGTAACTCTGTATCTGTAAGATTCCTCAATCTTTGCAAAATTTAGACCAAACGTTAAAATATTATGTGAATTAGTCCGCAAACCATCCAAGTGTCACTTTATAGGAGTTTTTGTGCAAAATATCAACTTATGACTTACTCAAATATTTTGTGGATAAAAAATGTTTCTACACCATTTAAATCAGTGTACGCCTAAAAGAGCAAAATATCTATGGTACTAATGGTCTCATTATCATAAAATTTGATAATAAAAACCAAAATAACATTTACATGTGTTTTATAACATGTTAGCATGGTTTTAATATCCCTTAAATTCCATAAAACAATAAGACAATCCAAATATTTCTCAAACCACTTCGATTGGATTTCGTTGTTTATAAGCCTTCCTAAAACAAATACGACAACACCACCCGCATCTCTGTGACAATGATGGCACATGAGTACTTTAAACCCCGATAATATCATGAAACTCCGGATAAAATACTAAAATATTCGACTCACCAAACACAGACTAATGGATTGCAAAATAATACGAAAAATTGCAGTTTTCAGCTCATATAAGTTGATAGGGTTTATGTGGTGGCAAGAAACATGTCACACCGTCTGATACTTTTAATTATTTAAATCTAAATATTTGATCACTAAATTAGCACGTTTTGTTGTGGTGATTGCCGATTTGCTAATGAAATATCGAATTGATATTAATGATTGCAATTGCAGATATTGTCATCTCTACCTTAGTACACATGCATTAATTAGATGGTATAAGCACAAGCAAAAATTAATTAACTAATGATTTCAGTTAAAGAGAAACAATTGTCTTTGCGTTTGTACACAGATGGTTTGTATTTTATGGATCTGTTAATGAAAGAGGCTACAAAGAAATGATTTCAGCCATAGAACGCTTATGTATGGATTGTCTTTACTCGGTACACACAGATGTTTTGTACATATTTTATGAATCTAATAACGAAATATAGTACGTAGTAAAAAATTGCAACAATTGCAGTTAGTACACTTTTCTGTATCTGTTTCTTTGTACACTGTTTTGTAAATGCAGTCTGTTAATGGAAGATAGGTTTAAGATAGATTAACTATAATTTAACGTTGTGATTTCTGGAATTCTGGTGTACGTAGGCGAGGGGAAGTATGACGAATTGAACAATTTTATGGAGGCTGTAATGAATGAAGCTCTTTATACTAGTAAATAAAATACGAAGATGCGTTTGATGCATACATTAGATGGAGAAAAAAACTAAGCATGTTGTTGGATCTAATATTTTTATTTAACCTTTTCTTCGACCGACATTGTTCTCAAAACAGACTCGAAACTCCTAAGGTGATTATAGGTTGGTTTTTGATATAGCTAAAAAATATAGAAATATCTCAACATGTTGCATTCTTTTGTAATCTGAAACATTTTCGTAAACATTTGATTTTATTGTTGTGGTAATAAGGTAATTAATCAGTAGCTAGGTATTTAGAGAACGTTAAGAATAAATGCATTCGTAAAACCTTCACTGTTTCCATATTTTCATTATTGTAAGTAATCAACTTCATCCCATCTTACCCCGATTGGCTGAGGCTTTGGATAAAAAAAAACTTTTTTTAGTTAAGGACTGAGGTTCTCAAAGGAGCTGAAAATTTAAGTACGTGCTCAGTGATAACCAAGTATAGGCAAAATATGTGAAATCCTTGTTGGGTAATTGGTCGATTGTTGCCTGAAAATCTGCGTGTAGGTGAGGTTTTGCTGGAATCAAGAGTCAAAAAGCTGAGAAGCACACTAGGCACGTAGACCTAGCCTTTTGGCACCCAACTTACTAGCTCAGAGAAACGAAATCTAGACAGCTGTGTGTGGTGTGTAGGTTCATGATGCGCTGATGGCTCTGCTCTGAAGACCGTAGACGCTCTGGTCGCTGTCGGTGTCGGTTGTTCGCTCTTCGCTCACGTTGTAAAGTGAATGAACCTTAGACCGGTTCCTCACACGTGGACTGAGTCCCGCCCACCAAGGCTCGTTCCCACAGCAACAGCTAACAAGATGAATCTTGCAGCAATTATAACTCGAGACTTTTGGATCATGTGATCTACGAACCAGAGCCTTCCAGACTAAGCCACAGTACTACGCAGTCATAAACAGCAACAGCTAACAAGATGAATCTTGCAGCAATTATAACTTGAGACTTTTGGATCATGTGATCTACGAACATCCCTTCCAGACTAAGCCACAGTACAACGCAGTCATAAACAGCAACAGCTAACAAGATGAATCTTGCAGCAATTATAACTTGAGACTTTTGGATCATGTGATCTACGAACATCCCTTCCAGACTAAGCCACAGTACAACGCAGTCATAAACAGCAACAGCTAACAAGATGAATCTTGCAGCAATTATAACTTGAGACTTTTGGATCATGTGATCTACGAACATCCCTTCCAGACTAAGCCACAGTACAACGCAGTCATAAACAGCAACAGCTAACAAGATGAATCTTGCAGCAATTATAACTTGAGACTTTTGGATCATGTGATCTACGAACATCCCTTCCAGACTAAGCCACAGTACAACGCAGTCATAAACAGCAACAGCTAACAAGATGAATCTTGCAGCAATTATAACTTGAGACTTTTGGATCATGTGATCTACGAACATCCCTTCCAGACTAAGCCACAGTACTACGCAGTCATAAACAGCAACAGCTAACAAGATGAATCTTGCAGCAATTATACCTTGGGACCCTTGGATCATGTGATCTACGAACATCCCTTCCAGACTAAGCCACAGTACAACGCAGTCATAAACAGCAACAGCTAACAAGATGAATCTTGCAGCAATTATAACTTGAGACCCTTGGATCATGTGATCTACGAACATCCCTTCCAGACTAAGCCACAGTACTACGCAGTCATAAACAGCAACAGCTAACAAGATGAATCTTGCAGCAATTATAACTTGAGACCCTTGGATCATGTGATCTACGAACATCCCTTCCAGACTAAGCCACAGTACAACGCAGTCATAAACAGCAACAGCTAACAAGATGAATCTTGCAGCAATTATAACTTGAGACTTTTGGATCATGTGATCTACGAACATCCCTTCCAGACTAAGCCACAGTACAACGCAGTTATAAACAGCAACAGCTAACAAGATGAATCTTGCAGCAATTATAACTTGAGACCCTTGGATCATGTGATCTACGAACATCCCTTCCAGACTAAGCCACAGTACAACGCAGTCATAAACAGCAACAGCTAACAAGATGAATCTTGCAGCAATTATAACTTGAGACCCTTGGATCATGTGATCTACTAACATCCCTTCCAGACTAAGCCACAGTACAACGCAGTCATAAACAGCAACAGCTAACAAGATGAATCTTGCAGCAATTATAACTTGAGACCCTTGGATCATGTGATCTACGAACATCCCTTCCAGACTAAGCCACAGTACAACGCAGTCATAAACAGCAACAGCTAACAAGATGGATCTTGCAGCAACTATAACTTGAGACCCTTGGATCATGTGATCTACGAACATCCCTTCCAGACTAAGCCACAGCACTACGCAGTCATAAACAGCAACAGCTAACAAGATGGATCTTGCAGCAACTATAACTTGAGACCCTTGGATCATGTGATCTACTAACATCCCTTCCAGACTAAGCCAATGCACTACGCAGTCATAAACAGCAACAGGTAACAAGATGGATCTTGCAGCAATTATAACTTGAGACCCTTGGATCTACCTTTGGATCTTGTGATCTACGAACCAGGGTCTTCCAGGATGTTGCAAAGACCAAACCACACTTCTATTGAATGCTGTGCTGTCACGATTCTAGTAGTGATTAACAAGGTTTTTAAAAATTCTTACAGAGCCACACCAAGTCCAAGTCTATAAGACTGTGGCGACTAGCGCCACGTCTGTTGAAGTGCCTGCTCGCTAGGAGCATATACTTCTGGTCTGCTGTGGGAAAAAGCCACACAATTGTTTCAGAAAGACATTTCTCTGCTATGTTGTATTTACCGTCTAACAAAATGAAAACAATTGGCGTGACTTACAGAAATGAGTAATTTGCATTAGCGCTATCTGATGTACCGTACTTTAATAAATTGCACACTCCTAAATCTCTGAAACATCATAACTCTTGTGAACGGAATTATATTTGTATGCATAAACGAAGAACGAAGCTTTTGTAATTCATTCAACATTCATTCCTCACTCATTGCCTAAGGCTTAAAGGCACCGTGGGAAGTTACGGTGACAAAACATAGAATACCTACCTAATCTAAAATAACAATTATTATGAAATCTTAAGCACACCATCAATTTATGTTTCAACGACAACCCCCTCATGCAAGTCTCCGGAAGCCGGGGAGCCAATATGAAAACAGTGACGAAAGGGAAGGCAGTTGTTTGTAAACTCCCCTTGTCCTTGGGGAGAAAGCCTCTCTGTGCGGGGTGCCGACGCGGAGCAGCGGGACATTATGCAAAAATCGACGTTAAGAATGCAGGTGGGGGAACGTGAGTCCCCTCCAACTCGCGGGGTCACTCACCTCCGCTCCGCCGCTCAGTCCCCAGCACGGCGACGTTGGGCGGTGAGCGGCGAGCGGTGAGCCGGTGAGCGAAAGGGGCCGTGCACGTGCAGTTCGGGAGGATGGGCCGCCATGGATGTCTTCCAAATCGACCAAACTCTGAGTGCGAATCTCGGTAGTGCTCCGCCACCGGAAAAACTCAACGCTGAAGTCTCGTTCGATGCCGGCTCTGAGTTCAACCTTAGTTTTTTCGACGGTCCCGAGGATACCCAAGGCTTCAGCGACCCGGGTTCTGTTGGTTCGACCTCCGTGTCATCCCCTCCCCCACCACCGGCGCGGCTGCCATCCCCCAAGCTTCTTCCGCAGACTTCAGTATCTGTCAAACAAGGTAAGGGAAGGTGACGAATTGGCTAGAAAATGAGGCGTGTGGCTGTTGTTCTTTTCTTTCTATGAAGGATGTAAGGGCTGAGGTTATGATACACGTTTAGTGGTTTTCAATAATCTAAGATTTTTGCAGGAACTTTATAGTTGCCCATAAGAGGCGAAAGAGACGTTGAGGTTAATATAATCCTTCAGTTATCTCTGATCTAAGATGTTCAAGACGTTTTGTAGTTTCTCATAAGAGGCGAAAGAGACGTTGAAGTTAAGATAATCCTTTAGCAGTTATCTCTGATATAAGATGTTCAAGACGTTTTGTAGTTTCTCATAAGAGACGTCGAGATTAAGATAATCCTTTTACAATTTTAGTTTTCTCTGATCTAAAATGATGCAGTAAGAGTTAACCATGAAAAGTGTACAAGAGACGTTGGGTCAAGATCGACAAAGTTTGTTAGGCCTACTACTATATGAACTATTTGCCCCTCTAGTTGTTAATGGTACTTTGGGGTTTTTAAAGACGCTATAGTTTACGTCGCTGGTTTAATGGTTTACACTAAGCTGTATTCTCAGTTTGGCTTGTTTTAAGGAGTTTGTGTATTCGAAAGAAATTGGGAATTGACATCAACACAATACAGTATGCCTCAATTTGACGACGTTTATTTTTTACTGTTTTTTTTTACACTGCATACAGCGTCAACATGGGACGTCTGCTTCTATCAATAGCTAAAGATATTATCAATTAACCACAACAGATGTCCACAATATGCATCGTGTCGTTAAACGTCGACAGACTTTGCGAAACTCGTTAATTAATTTTAATCAACTGTCTTTCTCAAATTTGCCTACTGAGATATTGTTATTAATTGTGATTGAGTGTGTTGCCGCAATTAATTACCACAGTCTGTTTGGAGTTTCAAATTACAGTAATTAATTCCTTAATAAATTGCGGAAATGTTTAAAAGAATTACACCATTTAGAAGAAAATATACAGAAGCGAAAGTGTCGTAGAAATTTGCAATACGTCCTTATACAATTCTTACAAAAGTTACACCGGTACTCGTGTTGTCTTTGCACACAAATTATAAGACAGTAAAATAATGACGCGGGTATGTTTTGTATGAATAAACTCCTTTCGAAAACGTGTGTAGTGTTTGGAAAACCTTGCCAAGGATAATCAATACAGTAATATGTTAGTAACAACTCTTACAGTATTTTATTATGGAGTAACATTAGATTAGTTTATAAAACCGGAACATGCTTGATGCCATTACTGTAATTTATTATACACACCTGAATCACAAGATGATTGTTTTATATGGAGGGGCTTTTGTATCTTTCATTTCAGTTGCAAAAGCTAAGAATCTATAATAGACTGTTCTCAATACCGGATGAAATAACCACACGCAACTTTAAATTAGAACTCATGTTTGATGACTCGTAATCAGTTTGAATTACTTGAGTGTGAAACCAGACCCAGCTGTCTTTGGTCGATAGCTTTCAATAAATAATCTTGGCCAAAGCATCAGCTGGTCTTGGTCAATACTAAGCTTCACTAGTTATCACTCCCACAATTCCACACAACTCTCATCTTTCATTCATACGCGGATTGGTGGTCGCCATTCTTTACGTAGTCTAATGCCATTGACTGTTGGATACTGAAGCAACAACAGTCTAAGGTCTGAAACTGTTCAAACAACTATGAACTATCCCCCCAATCTAATGTAATAAAAAATATTAGATAGGCCTACTTGCTTACTTTTTCGTACGGGGTTGGAGTATAAAAATGATTATTGCCGTTATACTTGTGCTCTGCTCTGCGTTTTTAATGGGGGAGGACACGATTTGTTATGCTAATATAACACATTTACCATAGCCATAATGTCCTACCACTGCACCTAAACAATAGAAAAAAGTAATTTAGGCTACCAAACGTTCGCACAATATCACAAATTATTTATTTATCTACTTATTTATAGGCAAGCATGTTTCTTTCAAACCTTTTTCTCAGCTCGTGTGCATCGTAGGGAAAATCTACGCATCTTGTTGGAAATATATTTTCCTGTTGTGTGCAGAATAAATTAAAATACAGCAGAACATATTTAATCCTAATTAATTGGGACCGGGGGTAGTTCGGACTATTGGAGAGTTCGGATTACAGAACATTTTGTTGTTTTTACATAACAATATCTAAAAAGTGGCTAGAATGGTTCGTAATTGTTACGGGAAAAGTGAACAAATGCTTTATAAAGTAAAATACAAAGTTTATTTAATACAGTAGTAAACATGGTGAATAAACAGTACTGTACATTAAATACAGTATACAATGTAGAACTACTGTACTGTGTATAAAGTAAAGCAATGAGGTGTTCGGATTAGTGGACGTTCGGATTACGGGGGTTCGGATTAAAGAGGTTTAAGCTCAAGAAGAAGCTTAAGAGCAAAAAATGAATTTAAAATTTAAAAAAATAACATGTATCTTAAGGGTTGCCATTCTGGTTACGAAATAAGAACGCAATATAAACAGAAAATCAAACTAATGGAAGAAATTCCAAACACATTTTTTAATTACAGCGTAGGGTGGAAATACAGAACATAAATACATTACATGTTTTTGGTCGAGTGTTCGACCACTGGACGACCTCTAGTCAAATAAAAAACATAAACATATCTGTAAACAATCGTACTTTGACAGTTCTAATTGTGTATCACAGGTTTTTGTTGCTGCTTAGTTTAAATTAGCTGTTGTATTAAATGAAAAAATTGTGCCGCTCCCTGTTGGTAAACCTTGTAAATTTTTAATGGTAAATAATATCATAGAACCAACTTGTTTAGTTGAAACAGCTGGCAAAATTCTTTAATACCTTCACAGCTTTTTGTTGCTGCTCAGTTTAAACTAGCTGTGTGCCCGTTCTACGACGGGGATCTTATAGTAGTCAGTTTAATGTGTTAAAAATCACACAATGTTGGGTTTTTGGACATTTGTAATTTTATTTCATAAGTAGGTAGGCCGTGTATTCTATGGAAAAGTACTGGTATCAAGGATCGTCGTCGAAAAGGTTGTTACATGAATAAATAGGTAGGCGTACGTACCCAAGAGATGGGCTATGGGCCTATTTGCTGTATGGTCTAGCGATTGCATTTCACTGTGAGTAGAAACAGAAAGTGACACATTGGACAAGCGAGTTTAGCATCATCCGTAAACCTCTTTGTTACAATCACCCTCTGCAGTTATAATTTTTGACTTTACACTTTACACAATCGCCATTGAAGCGCCGTCAATGAGTGGAAACCTTGTTTGTAAGCTATTGGCGACGATCATTAAGTGTCCCAGCCATATACTACACTGATTCAAGGTCTTTTTTTCTGGTTATCAAAACTCAAAAACAATTTTATACACAAAGAATTTCTGGTTCCTGACCTGGATGATGCCTAGTTATTTAATTTCATTTACGGTTACACTATGATATTGCACTTGCGATTAATTAAATCCGTTATGTAAGAAAAACGTTTTTAATCTCACATGGTTGGGATTTGCTATCAAAACGTGATAGGAAATGGTTGCGGTATTCGTAAACAACATTTGTAAACATATCAGTGACAGCTAGAAAAAATAATCTTGATCCGAAGAGCTTTTCGTTATTTCATAGACGATTATGTGATAAAAATTGAACGAAAATTGGACAAAAATCGCACAAAACTGCATTTTTGAACGTCTGTAATTTTATTTACAAAGTAGTGAGGCCATATTTTAATCACTAAATACACTCTTGGCAATCCAGTGAATACATTAAAATGGCTTGGATCTTGATAGGTACTCTTGTTTTCACGGAGAAGATTGCGTAAAATGCCATCTTGAGTGTTACAGACAGACAGACAGAAATAGAGATAAGACTTGTTTCTGCTTCTTTAATGTATGAAACGTAAAAATAACCTAAAAATATATAATTCTGAGCAATGTACAGACAAAACTCTAATTTTATTTATATAGAAGATTACCTGTTGACAAACAACGAAATATAAACAGAAAATCAAAACAAATGGAAGCCATTCCAAATCAAATGTTTTATTTACATTGTGGGGTGGAAATAGAGAACTCTGTACATTACATTTTTTTGGTCGAGTTTTCGACCATTGGACGACCTCTAGTAATAAATATTTTTTTATACAGGATGGAAGAAAGTCCTTTACTAAAAAACTGTATTTTACCAACAGAGACCTTTAATTAATTTGATATACATAACAACCTATGCTTACATTTAAGATTTTCATCTGAATCCTAGCGGACCGTTCCACCACATCACTGAATAATATGTTAAAATGATTGTAATGCCCAGTAACAGTGTACGTGTACCAAGTCTTAAAGCTCTATTTTTATTACTTTTTGAAATATTGAACCGTCCCAGGACTTTTTTCGCCCTGTATCTAGTAAATTATTGTAAGTTATAGGTACGCAACGATCGCGCAAGGCTATTAGTGGGTTGCGTACACTACTTTACCTACGACAATTTTTAATAATTAAAAAACACCTCTCATAACTTCTAAGAGAGGTTATGGTTTCGTTTTTATCCGCTCATTGCCACTGAATGACATGTTGTCCCAACCAATCACTCATTGTTTAATCAATTAAATTGGTCTTAACAGCCGATAAGTTGAAGTTCGAAGTATTACACTTTTACTTCTTTTCTCTCAAATCTTAAACCTCATTGGTCCAAACTTTCACTGTAAAGTAACAAAACAATATTGTAAAGTAAGTAAACAATAATGTTAAGTGAATCTTTTCAATTCTAAAAACTGAATTGAAAAGGCTAACTGTCGTAGGTAAAATATTTAAGCGAACACATGAACATTCTGTATCAGTCAATGCAATTTTACGCGCTACAGCGGGGCACTGAAGGTTAAAACTCTTTCAAAGATCTCCATCGAGAAACGCCCTTAGAAATATCTTTTATTTGCTGAAATTGCTACCTTCAACACTATGAAAGTTCTTTTCATTATAGGCAAAGCATAAGG